TGTGGTTGGAAGCCAGCAGGAATATTCTGTGGTTGGAAGCCAGCAGGAATATTCTGTGGTTGGAAGCCACCAGGAATATTCTGTGGTTGGAAGCCACCAGGAATATTCTGTGGTTGGAAGCCACCAGGAATATTCTGTGGTTGGAAGCCAGCAGAGATAACTACAAATTGAAGTATCACAGAATTATTGAATTCGAACTGCCTTCCGCCACTTCAAATTTGAATCGCCTATTCAAATCCTTAGTTAATCTTTAACCTAGAATCCGTGGTTCAAATTGGAACCGGCGGCATTTACATTTTCAAAAGTGTTTTTTTTTGTAATAAAAAATGGGTTTTAGATTTTTCCGCTTTTTATATCATTTTGACATTTTTGAGTTGATATTGTTTTCCGGATTTTATGAGAAGGGGAATCATGTCCCGCGTCATATCAACAAAATATAAGAGATTTATTTTTTTAGGCGAAACTTGTAAAACTTGCAGATAAGCTTTACAACATTAAAGGTATTTCAATTCATTAGTCAGTTATGTTATCATTAATTTTTTATTGTGTTTGCATTGTTTAGTTTCCAATTTTTTACTATTTGATCCAATTTACACTCTATCTTGATATTTGGGTATTACGTTTTTTTCATGTTTTCTGTTGTATTTAATTAATGTTGTAGGAACTCGACAACAAATTTAGGAAGTTTTATTTTTTATTTTAATCAACCAATGAACATTTTTAGATCAGTTTGCACATTTTCACAAAGTTATTTTGAAAATGAGCAAGAACAATTCATTTATTTCGAATCAAAGTTTTAAAAAAACGATACTACAGTTATAGCTTGTGTAAAGCGGAATGCACGTTTTCTTTTTTACATCTTTTGATGATGAAAGATAAAGATTTAAACTGCTATAATACATATATCCCAGAAAATGTTAAAGATATATTCTCAGAATTAAAATACATTACAAAGTTTGCCTCTAATTAAAAAAATGACTTTCATGTCTTCTTTCACTGTTGTAATTAAATCCTTACTTTAGATAAAAATGTCTGATTTTTGTTCAAAGAATAATAAAATCATATTTACTGTGGTGAAGTGTTATTATCACACTTTAGTTATACAGGGTGTCCCAATAAACATTTGAATCGAGGGATGATTTTGAGATTGTTTTTGATAATGATTTTTATTTTGGTTGGTTTATAGCACTAGAAAAGATTTATTCCGCAGAATTTGTTTGCCTTTGTTTTTTACAAACGAACTGCAACAGCGTTCCTCTTCTTGCTGAAATCTCACATCACAAAACGTCTTTCAGAATAACAAAATAGCTTTTTACCATTTATATAAAATGTACTCCAGCAATTTTCCGTACAACTTTATTATGATCATTGAAAATATGTACAGAGTGTCACAATAAACATAATAATTCATAAAAAAGACGGTATCGAATTCGTCACTGAATTCCCCTGTTTTTTGGGACACCCTGTATTACAAGTATAAATAACGCTAATTGTTTACAAATACAATTGCTTCTAAATTCCATTTTTTACTTTGACACCGGCCTATACCTTCTGTTTTAAGATCTTGAAAGATGTCTCCCTACTGGCTGGACCAACGAACGAAGAGATGAATATTTTAAGTGGGCTGCCAAGGTTCTTTAATCTTTATCTAAATCTAATACAATGAAACCTATATAACTACGGAATAGGAAGACGACTGTTAGACTAGGGTTGTTAATCGTTTTTTTTTAAGTTTTAATATTTCTAACATTTCAATCTGTATTCTATTAAAGTATGCTTTTGTTTAACTTTGCAATCTTATCCTAAGAGAGAAAAAAGAAAAACGTTTTAACACATTTTTTTCATATTTTTTTCTCAGATTCAAACTTGGGCAGAGGGAATGTAAAGCAAATGTTTAGGAACATTATTTAGAAATTAGCAAAACTTCTTGGATTTTGTGGATCCTTTTAAAGTCAAAAACAGCATCAAAAAAACGAAGCAACAATAAAACAAACTTATTGCATATCTGGATAATTTTTAAATGAACATGAAACACAGTAATCTTGTACTTACGCGCGTTGTTTATAAAGTTGCAGTGTTCACATAATAATTTGCTTTTATAAACTACTGGTATAAATATTTGATTATCAACAACATTAAGTACACATAAGGTTGTTTAAAGCCAATAACAGCCTCAAAAAACGAAGCAACAACAAAACAAACTTATAGCATATCTGGATCATTTTTAAATAGTTGCAGTACACAGTGTTTACTTAATAATTTGGTTTTCAAACTACTGGTACAAATATTTGATTACTAACAACAATAAGTACACATAAGGTTGTTCAAAGGGTTTGCAAGCGTAATTTCAAGTAACCTTTATATCTATATAGAAGCATTGTCCAATTCTTAACATGGTTTCTTTGGAAACTTTGTGGTTTTTCTTCAAAAATTGCTTAGCATTTCTGCTGCAGGAATACAATAAGAATTATTAGAATTAAACACTTTTCAAACTAGAAAAATGACGTTATCTTTCACATTATTGATCAGTTAAAGGTTTCAAGGTCACCGTTGTGAATCGGGCATGCACATTTATTCAATTACTCTAAAATTGTCGTCATCCTCTTCCACATTTGTATAGATTTCACTGTGTCATCAGATAATATCAGATATTTCATAATTTTCATATTTGCTTTATATTTTTTAAAAGTTTTGTTTACCTATAGGTTGTTTCTGGTTGTAGAGGAACAAACCTGGAGCTTGAAAACCAGGTAAACCAGTAAATATAGGATTTAACAGATGACTTAAAATACACATCTACAGAATATACACATCTTCTGATGGGATTTTTCAATACAATGACGGGGATATTAAACATTTTAATTTTAATGTATTTAACAAATTGAAAATGCTGGTCAGAATTCTTTAAAATTGAGAATCAGTTGAACTCTGTAGAGCTAGTTAAACTACTTGTCCTATATCTGTTTATGTTGATCTCGCTGGCACAAATATCAAAGAACCGGTGTGCTGAAGATTTGTTATACCTCTCCCCTCTCTAGTTATAAATTAAGATTTTGGGACTAAGGAATTGAGTTTTTGCCTTAAACTCAAATTTTCTTCTTCCATATTACTTTGATATTATTAACTTAAAATATTTGATTTGACAATATTCAGTGCTTAAAAAACGACTGTGGGTTGCAAAGATAAAGGAATTAAAAAATCAGAGCTTGTGGCAAAAAAACTCGGTTTCTTTTAAATATATTTTCATTAATTTTGAAAAAACTAATTGCAGTGAATTATATCTATAACTGGGTTCACGAATAAATGCAAACAAAATATTTTATATAGTTGTCATTTATTTTCCATGTTCCTTAGGACTTGATGTAACTTATTCATTTTACTTATTATATGATTTGGTTCAGTTGGTATATATTTATACCCTGAGCATCAATATAATTTGTTAGGGTCGGGTGTGTGGGTTTCCTGAAAGTAAGGGATGGATCGTTTCCACTTATTTGAGAAAGCGATCGGTTTTAAAAATATATTTTTATTAAAACTGTCGAGTGTTTCGTTTTCAAAACGATAGGTTTTTTTCCCAAAAAACGAAGCGATCGATTTTAGAAAAATAAAGAACGAAACGAAAAACTATCGTTTTTTAAACGATTAACAACCCTTCATGAAAGTATGTATTCCTGTAATCTTAGTCTTTCAAATTTTTGCTAATTTTTAGATTGACGAAGTCCTGACAAGGAATGGATTAGTTAACCCTAAGGAGATTGTCCTCGAGGCAAATGAGATGGATTGATTAACCTCAAGACCAAGGTTGTAAAATAAGTTCAGTTACTCTCGATGCTCTCCAATGTACGGAAAAAGTCGTCTCCTAAGATAGATAGACCAAAACCTGATATGAATTAACTGATTATAGAGTCAAGAGTGTCGTCATATGAGGTTTTTATTATTTTATCTTAGAAGACGACATCTTTCGTACATTGGAGCGCAGCGAGAGTAACCAAACTTTTTATACAACCTTGCTCTAGACTATTAGTGGACAGCAGCCTACAGATAATTAAATTCAGCCTTTTAAAAGAATTTTTATACAAATTATGTGAAAAGACTCAATGACGTACAGCACACTGCAGCATTTATGGCCAAACCAAAATAGCATTTCTCGCGTTTTTACATTTTCCTGTGAAACCAGGCAATAATTGTAAATATATGAGAATTGGGGCTCCAGTTTTGATGGTTTAAAAGTTTTACTTTGCAGTTGGTATTTAAGACATAAATATTATTTAAGATGAAGGAAATGTAAAAACTATTTTTTGGTTTTTAGTTTTTTGCTAAATAACTCATCACTTTCTATAAGTGACCAAAAAAAACAATTTCTTTTTGTAAATAACTTGATTAGTTTTAATGTAACAGTATAATGTCCAAATAGATTATCAAGTTCAACAGGTGGCAACAGAGAAATGTACCAATTATAAATGACGTCACAAGTGTCAAATATAACAAGGAAAACGACATTTTTTCCCATCAGTTAAAATGTTTTCTAAAATTGAATAAAAAAAGTGTAAAAACAGAAAATAAAGAACACATAATTGCACTTATTTTACTGTAAGATAAGCACTTTGTTATCACTATTTTAAATAATTTTGTCGGACACAATAAACAGTTAATACTTGTGACTTGAGAGTGTTCAAATTCTACTACGACTATTTTGTCGGAGACATAAAACTGCAGGGTTGTATATTTTTCTGTTTGCTAAAATATGAGTCTCACGGTTAATATATACCCGTGTAAAACAGTTGACACTTTTGACTTGAGAGTGTACAAATTCTACGTTGCCATCTGTTGTACAGTACTTGATAATCTATTTGATAATGCCTAGCGTGAAATATCCAGTATTTCTGTCAATTTGTTTTACTAAATGTTTACTTATGTTTTTTTAAATAAAGTTTTTAAATATGATTTGTAAAATTTAAGATTAAGATTACCAATTGTAAATGTTGGAAGAAACCGATGGTAAACAACGCAAGCTTTGTCATAAGATAAAGGGTGTCCCAATAAACATGGGAAATAAATGACAAGATTTAAGATCGTCTTTGTTAATTATTATCATTGTAATACCTGATTTCAAAAGCTATAATCTAATTATGCCTGCTAGAATTTATTTTATGAAACAATAAACGGCAGCAATGATGTGTCTGTAATCTCTCTGAAAGATGAATAATAAAGATGTGCAGTACATGTTTATTGTGTTTGTAAACATGAATATTCTTGTCAAAACTCAAAACATAAACAAACAAATCTGACGCATTACAGCTTTATAGCTTTCTCAGTAGGTATCGAAATACAAAATCAAAGGATTATTTAAAAAGTCGATATCATAGATCGTCATTCAATTCTTATGTCCATTAGGACACCCTGTAGGTTAAAGGGACAGTAAAGGAAAAATGAAAGGGGGTATAGACTGAAAGCTAATCACTTTAGCTCTCGATCGCGACCCATGAAAGTTTTATCTGATGTTCATATCTCGAGAAATTGATTATAACTGTGTCAAATTTATACGAAAATTAATATATATATACAATTTTGTATAAAAGTAGTGGGTTTAAATAGATCAAATTCAGCAAATAAGCAACCAATCTGAAAACGATAATATCCCCGAGAAAGCTAATTATTACTTAGGTTTACTCCAATTCTAATTTTATATTTGTTATTTATATTTTTAATAGATTTAATTCATAATATTATTTACACGTCCGAATTGGTTGACCAGAAAATCCACCAATGACAGTGCAGTAAAGTGGTCACGTGATACAGACAAAGACACGTGATCAGTATACTACTCTGCCATTGGTGATAGTTCTGGTCACGTGATTTAAGTTTAAGATTTTCTAAATTTTACATATATGAACTTTCGTATGATTTTAACACAGTTTTATATCAATTTCTCGAGATAGTAACATCAGATAAAACTTTCATGGGTCGCGTTAAAGAGCTAAAGTGATTAGCTTTCAGCCAATACCCCCTTTCAATTTTCATTTACTGTCCCTTTAAAGACGATCCGAAAGTCGTTTATCAAACTTTGAATCAAATAGTTAAAATTCAAAATATTAAAAGTTAATAACATCAGGTGGCAAAGATGTATGAGCATGAAGCGATTGATCCGTTCCTTGATTTCCTTTCTTTTGCAACAAAAGAGCTTTTTGCATTAAACTAACCCATTTAGATCTAAGGGAAGGTGGTTAAGAATTTCAAATATTTTTGGATTTAATAAAAAAATAAGTTTTGAAGCGTCAACAATTAAGATCAGGAAAACTACGAAATATTTAACTCTTGAGGGAGTGTTTACACAATGGATAAAGCACATCTTAAGATTTTTATATCTTATTTTACAATATATGTATATATTTCTCTTCAGATTTCAGCTTTCCAGCAACCTTGAAGCATGTAATCGAAAAAAATGCGTTTCTTAAAATCTTCCTAAAAATATTGCGCAAAACATTTTTATTTCCCGAATAAGTAGTTGTGCACCATTTCATCATCATTGAGATGAAAATGCACATATTATTTTACAAGAACATCGCATATAGCGGGTTGTTATTTTAATTAATTGTCCCAAATGACGCAGAGTATTTTAACGTTCCTGTGATGGGGAATGAGTCGGTTATGTTGGTAAAAAGGTGGTAATAATTATTATAATTTTTTTAAAAGAGATTTTTTTGTCCCCAGGACATGATCGGGTTGTTACGATCAAATCTCGGAATTTTTTCTATTGCGAAAGTTTGGTCTTGTCTTGGTTTTTATATTGATCTACCAGGGGTTGTAATCTGGCAGCACATTCATCCATCCAGGCTTCATTCATTCTGAGAAGAGGGTTGACAAGATTCCAGCTGCCTAAGATTCTTCTTAGGCCTGAGAATATAGAGTGCAGGAATCCTTCTGATATACTGGAATGAGGCCCGGGTGCCGTACTGATAGGAAACATCACACTCATTGCTCCCTAACATCTGTAAGCCCGGATTGGATACCCCCAGGTACCTATAGCTGGCAACCATAGACTCTCCCTGCTTGTCTTCCATTCCTCTCTTCATCGTCATTCACTTGGATCAATCCCACTTGAAGCTTCTTTCTTGTTCAGTAGAAAGCACGCACCCTTTCGCTGCGAGAGTTGTTGACAGCCGCCCCTCTGTCCTCCTACATCCGTCAGGTGGTCATAACTGCTTAACTAGATGTCGGCTTCAGATGTTTTTGAAACCACAGGTTTGTGTGGAGTACGGGAATCGAACCCGTGAACACCAGTCTGGACACCAATCCAGTTACTGGCTGTGGACAAGTGTGCTTAACTTCAGTGATCTAACGAGAACTGGTGTCACACACTCTCCACCCCACCCCACAAAAATTATTATAATTAATAACTACTTTGCAGGGAAGTTAAGAGAATTTACTATGCCAATGGACCGATAGAACCCGTGGTTAGGTATAATTTTTAATTTCTCGAAAAAGTTAGTTGTGCACAATTTTAAAGTCTTGAGATGCAAATGCGCAAAGTTTTTCACGCAGAGCGAGTCGTTATTTTACTTAATTGTCCCAATTACCTAACGTAAATTACTTAACATCCCGCTGTTGGGGGTATCATAGCTACTATACAGCAGATATAAAAAATGTGCATTAATTCTTAAGACTGGGTCTTAATTAAAGTGCCGTAACGTCTTGACCTTTGGTTTTTCTGTATCCCTAAACCTTAATGATCTAGAACAAGTTTGTTTTAACTTTAGTGTAACGTAATTGGAAACATGTTGAGCGTGGATTACTGTAAGTATTTGAGGAGTTATTTAATGTTATTAGATCTACGACTTATTGGATTTATCTATATTTAAGATCATGGAGTAGAATTCATAATATGATCTGTTCATTTATTTTTTATTCGTTTATTGATGTTGAAGAAAGTTAACTGGAAAGAATTTATTTCATCCTTTTAAACATTTTAAGCAATTTAGCATTTTAGAGAACATTGGATAGTATCCCACCTCTTACTAAATTTTCATAATCTCCCTTCTCCCCTCCCCCCTCCTCACCTGCTGTTGGCTGTTGGATTCCTGTTTCTCAGTAAATGGTAAATTCTTCGCTCACTTGGCTCAGTATAGGATAGATTGCGTGTCCAGGATGGTGCTGTGAGCTTGTCAGCTATATAGTTAATGAGCGGAGAACTCTCAACACAGATTTTGCCACGATATTCTTAATCTTATAAAACATTCCGTATTTTATAATACAGTGAGTCCCTATACACATCAAACCTTTCTCATTCCTAATACATTTGATCAACCATCACAGCTTGTAAGATTGGTTGTTCAGTTTTTTCAATAAAATCGTTCATTCGGTAAAATTTATTGATTACGATATATTATGTAATATGTATAAGGCAAAACAAGTAGAACAGTTCTTCCTCGTTCATTCTTGGAAATCGTTTGTAAACGATCAAATTTGTTCGAACAACCGATTTTGAAATCGTTCGTGATCGATTAAGTTTGGTCGAATGAACTGTTTTGTCCAGTAACGGTCTGACAGATTAAAAATGCGAACGATCGGTAACAATTTTAAATTTTTTGTTCTTGTTTTCGTCGTTAGTTTTTAAAAAAGGTAGTTTTTTATTTCCGTTCTGAACCAATCAATTTGTTCGTTCATCGTGTGTTAAATTTTCTGAACGTCCACATAGTTCATGAAATGATTAACAATGATACCTTTATCTGAGAACCAATGAGGACAATATCATTGTTTTCCTGACCTAAAACATATTGAATTCTGTCAGCTTCATTTATTGCCTCTGCCGCGAAAATTTGCCACTTTTACAGGGAAACCACAATTAAAAAGAATCAATTATTTGAAAAGAAAAACCAGAGTATCTCAGTCAATTTTGATCTGATGAAGGATTAAAGAGTATCATTGTGAGTTGAAAATTTGAAATCATGATTACAGTCCCTCTTCAAATGTATATTGACCATCTCTGACATCCTGATGTTTATTGGGACTCACTGGTCTGTACATCTAGGACAAAAAAAGAAAAGTTTAAATTTTGTTCCCTCAGTGAAAATTGTGCTTATATGATGTAAAAGAATACATTAGTGAATCTTGAATAAGAAAAAGTGCAGGAAGGAAGTGGAGTTGGCGTAACACAGGGAACACATTTTAATACAAAGGAAAGCATTGATCTTACATTTCTACTTTATTATAAAAAAGTAACTTTTTTTATTAATTGGCCTTTTAATGTATTTAGAATTGAATGAAATATTAAAGACTTTCGTTAATGTACTTTTCATGAACTCCCTTACCCCCCCCACTAAGTTGATGAATTAAGAATAGGGTGCTATTTGCTAAATGATGAGGCAATTTTTCTATTATATATTCACCTTCTTGGCGCACCTTAAATGGCAACATTTAGGATGTACAACAAAAAAGGCCCGAAAAAAATTCTTGAAGACAATGAAACTGTTTTATTTATACCTATAGTAACTATTATTCAAAAATTAAATTTTTCAAACTTTTTTGTAAATTTGATTGTTTTCCCTATTACAATTCCATCACAGGACACCCTGTGTATACTTATAGACTAGATAACTGTTTTAACAAATCAAATTCTTAATTTTAAGTTTCCCTCAAACAAAGGTTTTTATTTATCATTGTCCTTTCTAAAACTAGGTAGGGGGGTGTAAATGTAAAACTACAGAAAATGTAAAGTTTTATTATCACAGAAAACCCATTTGTATCAAATTTTCCCTTCAGATATCAAGAGCAAAATATTTAAAGTTTTAAGTGACCCAACTGTGCACAAAAATAATCTTTAAACTTTCCTCTAAACGAAAACGTCAACCTTGTGTTTCGCAAGGTTTTTAGAGGAGGGGGAGGGGGGGGCCCCTCAACCCAAGAATTTAAGAACTCAATTAGTGATTAATGCTTTCCCATTGATACATCAAGGGATCAGCATAAACAATTATTCTGTGAAGAATGTCGTCTTTTAAAGAATTTCTTCTGTTAGTGACTTTAACGGTACATGGAACAGTAGCGTATCCAACACAACAAGATCATATCAGGTTTGACGGGATCCCCTCCCGCTCTTCATTCACCACACAATACTCTTCTTTCCCCTTCTTAACATCCCTATGTCTTCATACAATACTTGCTCCCTTCCTCCTCTACTTACCACTCTTTCCTCTTAACTCTTTTTTTTGCACATTTTCATCTTATTTAGTTTTTACAACCCCATCTCCATGAAAAGGAAATTATTTCCATCAGTCTAATTTATATCTTTTTTCTTGCCTAGCTTGGGAGCCGGAATATGTAAACACAGATTCCCAACTGCATCTGAAATCCCCCATACGGTTCAGCTAGAGCAGTTAACCGTCTCGGGTAGCCGGGTTACCAGAGATGCTCAGAAGAAGATGAAAATAAAAGTTAGTAAAAAAAAACATTAAAAGAGATAATTATGAACCCTGCATCAACATCAAAAACATGATTACTTTTCAACAATCGAATTCAAAAAAAAATAAACGGAAAGGGCAGGAAGTAATTTTCCTAAAACATGTCAATAACTCATTTCCAAATTTACACTTTTTATTGTAACATCAGGACAAATCCTTTATATTGAGTGAATTTTAAGTTAAACCCTAAATATTAAGTACATCGAAAGAATTTATTAAATGTCGTTTTCTTCACTTTCTGATAATGGAATGTTGCAGATATTAAGTTTTTTAATTATATGATTATATGGAGCTCTTTAAAACTGTTCCCGTATATTCATGACTTTTTATTTATTTTCGCAAATACTGAGATAGTATAAAATAGTATAAACCCATTGAAAGACGTTATTTCATAAATTCTTTCGATGTATTTTGTATTTAGGGTTTAACAGTAATATAGTTGCAATATTTACAACTAAACAATTACTAAATGAAGCTTTGTACCAATTTTCAATACTATAGTGTTTTTTTTATGGTAGCGTTGTATAAGGTTACATTTTTTATATTAGCAGTGTTTTTGTATGGTTTTATACTTATACCAAGTTCTTCAGAATTTTGAAAAATTAATATTTTCGATTGAGGTTTATCTACAAAAGGGACATGAAAGTTTTAAATGAAATCATTATTTAAACAATGTTGAACGCAAGGAATTTACCGTCAGAAATAGAAACTAAGATGATTTAAAAGTACTAAAACTTCAAGTGACTCTCATTCTAAATAGCATGTCTGATCCACGACGTTAGCCTTAGATTCTCTATCTAAGTAACACCGAGGAGGACAGTATGGTTTTCTATCTTGAAAAATTCAAAATTCTGACAGTTACCTTACTTGTTTCTGCTACAAATATCTCCAGACCGCAAGTAACTTTTAATATTATAGAGAAAAATAAGATATGGTTGTGAATTATACATCCCCCGTTATTTGTGGAGGGTCACTTGAAATTGTCTCTACTCTGCAGTACAATGTAGAGTAGCTCCGGACCCATTCAATTCAGATCTGAGCAGATTTGTCTCTACTCTGCAGTACAATGCAGAGTAGCTTCGGACCTATTCAATTCAGATCTGAGCAGATCTGTCTCTACTCTGCAGTACAATGCAGAGTAGCTTCGGACCCATTCAATTCAGATCTGAGCAGATCTGTCTCTACTCTGCAGTACAATGCAGAGTAGCTTTGGACCCATTCAATTCAGATCTGAGCAGATCTGTCTCTACTCTGAATAGCACTCTGGTAGTGTGCACTCTCTCATCTGAATATCACTACCTTGAGTAAGTATTTTTAAAACAGTGTTATCCATGAAGGTTCTCTACCACGAGAGTGTAAACGAGCTGGATGAACTGAGAAGGGATATTGTTAAACTAAAAGTAGTTCCAGAAGCAGTGAAGCATTGGGAAAACGTATTCCAGGTAATCGGACATTTCCTAGATTGGACGTTACATAGATGGGACATTTCATAGATTGGACATTTCATAAATCAGGCATTTCATAGATAGGACATTTTATAGATGGGACATTTCATAGATCGGACATTTCATAGATTGGACATTTCATAAATCGGACATTTCATAGATAGAACATTTTATAGAAGGGACATTTCATAGATTGGACATTACATAGATTGGACATTTTATAGATGGGACATTTCATTTATCGGACGTTTCATTTAACGAACATTTCATATATCGGACATCACATAGATAGGACATTTCATAGAATGGACATTTCATAAATCGGGCATTTCATAGATAGGACAATTAATAGATGGGACATTTCATAGATCGGACATTACATAGATCGGACATTTCATAGATCGGAAATTTCATAGATCAGACATTTTCTATCTGTGATATATGTTTCAGTGGTAATCGATTAAATCAATACAATGAAGACGACTTTTTTATTTAAGTTTTGATTGTTCACAAGCTTGTATCAAATTACAAGTTTACAAGTAATCAAAAAAAAGCTTTTTAAAATCACATATTTTCTTAAATTTAATGAAACTAACTAGAAACTGCTGCTACAGGTTGTAAATCCAGGAAAGAGGATACGGCTGAACCGGAAATGTGAAAATAACCAATATTTTCTATCTGCTGATGATCCGACTCAGTACTGCAGAAACAAGTTAGTACCAATTTTTTTTATTGTCCAAGGGAACTAGATTTGCGTTCCCATGGACTATTTACTTCCCAGCTTAAACTTTACTCGGTTGAATAAAAAAGTGTTTAACATAAATTTGAAGTAGATAAAAAATATTTTAAATAAAATTATCCGATGCTGTTTTTAGCGAAGCATGTTTAAGTGTACAGAGATGGAATTTAAAGAATTTGAGCCGCGGTTTAAATCCGCCAAAACCCGGTTTAAATTAAGCGCCGGCTTAAATCTTGAAACATTTGATACAATTTTAAGTGGAAGGTCAACCATATTTAAACCGCGGCTTAAATTTAAACCGCCGCTCAAATTCTTTATATTCGGCCACAGGAGGTGTAAAAATAATTTAGGTTTAAATTTTGGTATTATGCATTTATACTACAATGAAAAGATAATCATTTATTCTTAAAGCTACTTAAATAACTCATGAGTCACTTACGTTTCAGAACATGATAATAATAGAAATAATATAATTTCAAAATTATAAGAAATTTAAAAATAGATTTCATTTTAAAAACTTTTTTTTAAATCTGCAAAAAAAAAAGAATAAAAAAAGCTAAAATTATTGTTTAGATGTGTTGAAACAAAGTGTGGAGAATGGATTGTACCTGAAGAACATTTAGGAACTTATTCGACATTTAACTATTTAAAATTTCGTTTGTAATGAAATAAAAAATATGTTTAAAACCCAAACATAAAATGAAGAAACACGTACAAAATTCTGATGTCAGGCTTCCCTTTTATCAAAACTTATATCTCTAACCACGTGTTATAAATATCTATCGGTGTTACCTAATAGATAGATAGATATTTCTAAAATCCTTGTAGCACCTGCAAAACCTCTTTTTTAAATCAAATATGATCTGGAACTTCGATGAAAGGGATTGTGTACGCGTAATTTCAAGTGACTATCCATGTAAAGATGACAATTCCCGATTTACAACAGTACCCTTGAAATCCTTGTCGGATCAATAAGGAAGATATTGTTGTTTTTCTAGGTTTACAAGTTTATTTCTGATAATTTTAATATGTTTTACAGCGCATGTCACTTTTGTAGAGAAACCACAATTAAATTTAATCATTTTTCAATATTCAAACATTTATCCATATATTATTGAGCATATTTCTAGATGAAACCCATAATAATGAATACATCGAAAGAATTCATCAAATGTCGTATTCTTCACTTTCTGATAATGGAATGTTGCAGATATTTAGTTTTTTAATGAAATGATAATATGGAGCTCTTTAAAACTGTTCTCGCATATTCATGGCTATTTATATATTTTCGCAAATACTGAAATTCCCGTAATATAGCATAAAACTCATTGAAAAATTGTCAAAACGACATTTGATAAATTCTTCCGATGTATACGTTATTAAGGGTTTCACTATAGCACATTAAAACTTTATCAGTGAGCAGATTTGTTGCATTTTCTGAAAGAATGAACAGCATAAATAAGTCAAGCATTCGTTTACTTTATAACTTGTTTTAAAATGATCAATGAACAGTTTTATGTAAAAATCTGAATATAATTGCAGATGATTGTAGTGTGCTAGTGGACAATTTGTCCAAAAATGTTGTCAAACAAAATTTAACGTTTTCAAAGTTACCAGATGATAAGAATTGGAAAATACCTCTCATTTATGAACTGCTAGATCTAAGATCAAACAATTTTTCTGTTAACAATTTTAAATATCATGAATTTAATGATATAATTTGTTTTTTTTTATGTACTGACTATAACAAGTGATATTCTATATTTACATATGTTCCTCGCTTAAATTATGTCTTTGTCTTAATTTATTGTACCATTTTTTGTGTGCGAAATAAACTTTAATAATAATAATAATTCATATTTGATCGGACAAATCTTTTCATAATACTGTTGTATATCAGCATGGTCAACTATGCATGGAAGATCACTTAGAATGACGCTCATAGACCCTAAAACCTCAAAAAAAAAATATTAATGAATAAAAAAACTTGTAGAGAGCTGCAGTACTTGTGATTCTAGTGGAAGGAATTGTAAAACAGAAAACAATAAAGGAGAGGTAAGTGTTACAAGTTGTAAAAACATTATTTCTAATTTGATTTGAAATTATGCAATGATGAATCTCAACCCTGACAAAATAAAATCTAATTTTACATTTTTAGGGTTTATCTGATGTAGATTTTGTCCTGTATGTATCCGCTGTATCTACAGAACAGTGTATAGAGAGTATTGCAGGACAGGTAACCATTGTTACTTTAAGGACCGTCTTTCCGTTACTTTGCACCTGATATACATCAAAGACGCGTCTTTGCCTGGTATTAGTATCTATCTATCTATCTATCTATCTATCTATCTATCTATCTATCTATCTATCTATCTATCTATCTATCTCTATCTATCTATCTATCTATCTATCTATCTATCTATCTATCTATCTATCTATCTATCTATCTATCTATCTATCTATCTATCTATCTATCTATCTATCTACTTATCTATCTATCTAGGCTGAAACTGTTGCGTATGCTGCTCACTGTCAGCAGGAGGATGAGCTAGACCGACCTGTGGCCGGTCACACCAATATTTGTCCCCAGTCTGTCAAGAAACCGGTAGCTAGCTATCAGATAATTTATTAATACAAGCTCGTAATAATGTCTGCTAATCTATTCCATGTCTAAATGACGCACTTCCGGTTTTCATTCTCAACTTCATATTTTTTGCGTAATGTCCTCTAAAACTCAAAAATGGAGCAAAAAATGTATTTAACTCGCATATCAGAAGACATGGGAAGAATTTATAAAATGTCGTCTTGAATTTGAATTTGAAGCTGTCTTGTATTTTCCCAAGCTTTTAAAGTTTTCTGCTCCCAGCTTTACAGGGAGATATGGGATTTACTAAAGCTTAATCAAAATTTCTGTGTTAAAAGCCAAATTTTTTATCTGTAATAAACATTTTCTAAATCTACTTTTTGTAATGGTAGATCTGAAATACTTGGCAAACAGAGGAATAGAACTGACTGACGCGGTTCGCCCTACCATATGATTATACATGCTTTGCAGACGGGTACTTCATTCTTATAAGAAATATTCAGAATAGGTTATTGTAGACGCGGTAATTGTGCATCAGACAAATATTTCTTATTCAAAAGAAGTACTGTCTGCAAAGTATGTATAATAAGCATATGGTAGTTCTATTCCTTTCCCCCTGCCCCATATATATACAGATAATCCTAGATATATAATATCGTATTCTCAACATATTTAGGATCAAATACCGTGGGAAAAAGAGTTTACTATATCAATTGCTGTCCTGCATATTTCGGGGCTATTAATTTACTTTGAATTGAAAAATAAATAAGCAGCTTTTTAAGAATTATCCGAAAACTTTTGACTCTACAAAGATATTTGGATATATTTTTATAAATCGTATTCATCCATTTGAAGCTGCAAACATTTCAGCAGCTTTGTTGTTGTGCAGACTAATGATGAAGCATCATATCTGTCAATGTCATAAACTTTTAAATAGATTTCAAGACGAAATTTCAGGTGATCGTGCTATGTATTTTTTTATGTGATAATATTGAAAAATGTTTTTACTTCAAATTGTGATTTCTCTTCAAAAGTAACTTGCGCATTTCTACTGCAGGAAATCATATAGGAATTATCAAATAATTGATCTTGGACCAAACAGTTGATCAATTAGTTAATTAATTGATAAATGAAATATTTTATTTATAAATGAGGAGAGAGATATAAGAAGTTTAATCTCTACACTGAAACACGAATTACTTCATGCACTTGGCTTTTCCTCCAGTCTTTTTGCATTCTTCAGGTAAACTTAATATCAGTTAAATATTAGCTGTATAT